ATGGGCCGGCAGCGTGGGGAGGCAGTTAGGAAGGCCAACCGCACCTTGTCATGCATCCACAGATGCATCTTGAGCAGGTCCAAGAGATGATCCTCCCCCTCTATGCTGCACTGGTCAGGCCGCAGTTGGAGTACTGCGTCCAGTTCTGGGCGCCGCATTTCAAGAGGGATGTGGACAGCATGGAGAGGGTCCAGAGGAGGCCACTCACATGATCAGGGGGCAGCAGGGCAGGCCCTACGAGGAGAGGCTACGGGACCTGAACCTGTTCAGCCTCCAAAAGAGAAGGCTGAGGGGGGATCTTGTGGCCTGTTATAAACTAGTCAGGTGGGATCAGCAGGTATTGGGGGAGTCACTGTTCCCCCGAGCACCGCCAGGAGTGACCAGGAATAATGGTCACAAGCTGGCAGAGGGTAGGTTTAGGTTAGACATCAGAAGGTGCTACTTCACGGCCAGGGCGGCTGGGGTCTGGAACTAACTTCCAAGAGAAGTGGTGCAGGCTCCTACCCTGGGGGTTTTTAAGAGGAGGTTAGATGAACACCTTGCTGGGGTCGTTTGACCCCAGTACTCTTTCCTGCCATGGCAGGAGGTCAGACTAGATGATCTGCTCAGGTCCCTCTGACCCTAGAAACTATGAAACTATGAAACACTGCCAGGACTGTCAGGGACTGGGGACAGATGTGGGGATTCCCTTGACTCCAAGCAGTGGGCTAGTATCCCTACCTCCACTTTATGGTGAGAAGAAGTGAGGGCTCCTGACGCATGGAAATTACTGTACTCAAGCAGACTTGTGTCACATGCATCAGCTTTCCTGCACTGAAAAATGGCGGCAGGCACTTTGAACTAAAGCTTGTCGAATGAGCTTTAATTCAAAGCAGTCCACCACCATTTTTTCAGTGCAGGGATTCTGATACACGTGACAATTGGGCACTTTTAATTAGTGTGCCTCACTAATTAAGGCACCCCCGCCATGTATGCCAGAACACATGTAAAAATACCCTAAGGCAGGGAGGCTGCAAGAAGAGATACACCTCAGGCCCTCCAGAAAGACAGCGGCTGTGTCTGGGCTCCTTGGGTGCCTATACATGTGCAGCATGGCTGCTCTGATGCATTGTATGTACAGTGCATTGAAAAAGACTTGATCAATCAAGTTTACTGGAGCGTGGTAATTACTGCACTCCAGCAGACTCCAGCATCACATGTGTCATCATCCCTGCACTGAAAAATGGTGGTAGGGGGACTTTAACTAAAGCTTGTTGAACAAGCTTTAGTTAAAGCACCCCCATTGCCATTTTTCAGCGCAGAGACACTGATACAAATGACGCTCCAGGCGCTTTAAGTACAGCAGCTCTCTGAGCCACTCTAATTAACACCCCCACCCCAGAACATGTGTATAAATGCCCCTTGTGCCAGGGTCAAACTCACATCCCCTGCTAGCCAAGCTGCCCCTGCTGGGCCAGTGCCAATGAGGGGAGTAATTCTTCCATGAAGGCTAAGGGTAAACAGCAGCATGAGCCACTCTCCACTCCTCCCACAAGAGGCCCAGGGCTGTTGCAGGCCAGCAGGAAGCCTGAGCATAGCCAGGCCCAATCACTTTTGTTCTCCCCTCTCACAAACTAGGTCATGGCCCAGTGCCACTCACATTCAAGGGGCAGCCAGAAAGGGACAGCTACCCCAAGGCCCATGGCTGTGACAAATAGGGAAGGGAAGTGCTGAGCTACTAGCAAAGAAGGGCAGCATTGTCCTCTTCACAAAAGGCAGGTAAACCAGATGCCCCAGGGACACTGGTAAAAGTAAAAGTAAGAGTCCTTCAAGCCTCACCGTGAGGCTGTGTCAGTGCCCAGCCCTCACTGGGTGCTCACCTTTGCCAATGACACGCTCCCGGTGGGTGACCAGTCGCTCCTCAGGGATAAGAATGTCCTTTACCTCCTCGAGCAGCTCTGGGCGGAGGTTCTCAATGCAACAGGATGGCACCCTCATGAGTGGCACAACCAAACCATCACTGATAGCTGTGTGGGAGGCACCATGGAACCGTGCCCTGGCAGCACTGCTGTGGGGGGGTGTGGTTGAGGGCACCACTACCAGGGAACAGGCAGTCAGGGATACATCAACAAAGCCCCGCATCCCCTTCCCTTTGCCCCCCTTCACACACCTATCTGACACTGTGGAACCTGGCTGCTCTCAGATCTTCGATAGCAAGGGAGAGGGAAGGAAACTGGATCCCCGCTTACCATTAGGGTACCACCACAGTGTCTGTCCCACAATGCCTGACAGCCAAGAAAATGGCTATTGGCACTCCCTGGGTGGCAGTACTAGGTACCAGTGGGCAGGAAGTCTCCAGCTTTCTGAAGTGTGAAATCAAGGAAGGTCTCCTGCCTGAGCATGGGGGAGGGAGTGATGGGTCATTGGATGAGGAGCCAGGCACAGTCACTGCAGAGACCCCTCCCCAGGACATCAGCAACAGTACCCAGCAGACGGCTCACAGACAGGCAATACTGGCCCTCTGTCTGTAGAGCCCCTGCCCTTACCCTGCAATTCCCGGTAGTCCCTGGCAGAGGGGTGCATGGTGATGCTGGGCGCATACCCGTTGGCAGTCACAAGCATCTCCAGATTCTCTGTCCCTGCAGATCCAGAATGAAGCACTGGGAAGCTGCTCTCGCTCACAGGCAGCCCCTGCCCCATACGCAGTATGGACTTACACCACTCCTGCCAGAGCACAACCCCCCTTCCCCATGTGCCATGGGCACTGCTTATTCTTCCCCTGCCTGGAGAGGTGAGCATACAATTGGAAAGTAGATGCAGGTTGGGGGAACAATACTGCTGTGCCAAACCAGCTCCTATCCAGCTCAGCACCAGTGCCTGGAAGGACTGGCAAAGATCAGCAGCACTGTGGGGGCCAGAGGGCTTGTAATGCTAGGTGGCACTCCCTCCCCACAACCTGGGTGCTGGGGCATTCCCATTCACCCATGCATGTTCTATGTGGAGATGCCCAACTGTGCACTTATAAGGCAGATACTGAGAGGGGGCAGGCACTGGAAAGATGTCCCATGATGCCCGTGAGGATTATGCTGCGGGACCAGCTATTTTGCGGGAAAGTCATGGAATTAAGTACCCCTTTTCTTCATCTGTTTGCATTTCAGGAGCAGGAACACCAGGACACAGCAGAGCAGGAAGGCCACTACAGCACCCACCACAATGCCTGTCCCAGGATCCGCAGAAGGAGTTTTCACCACCCAGCCCAGGTCTATGCAGGCTCCATTTACACAGATCTGGGAAGGGAAGATTGAATGTCACTCTTAGGGGTGCATGGGTCTTGCTGCAAGATCAGGTGAACCACCCCACATATCCATATCTACCCATGCTGTCCATCCACATATTAACAAGCTAGGCACCCACAGCTGAGACTATCCTTTGACTGCCAGCCAGCCAGGGGCTTTGTGCCCAAAGGTACTCATTGTCTTGCTATGAATGAAGTATATAACCTAGGTACCAAGGGCACAGACCTTCCACAAAGAAGGTGAGATCCCCAGTCAGTCGTCCTGAAGCTGCCATGACCCAGCAGAAAGGGGCATGGTTCAGGAACCTGCCAAGCCATCTTCTAAGGCCTGAGGGACAAGGACACATTATCTGGCTCCTGGGGGACACTCCTGGCACAACAGGGTTATATGTCACTGCTCCTCAAAACACATATGCTACATGTCAATGCCTCCTGTCCTGGTCCCTCCTGAGGCCCCATGCTGAGGTCTGGCAACTGTTCCATCCTCCCATAGTAACCACTAAGCTAACAAAGGTGATGAGAAACCAAAAAAACCATACAGGAGCTCAGAAAACCCTCAAGAGCCCTCCCAGCCCTGGCCAGCAGCATCAGGATCTCTAGGGGTGTGGCAGAGAGCCAGGGCAGGTTGGGAAAGCAAAGTCAGGGCTGTTCAACTTCTGAATGGCTGAGGGGCATGCACTGTGTGGCTGCAGACCCTTGAGCCACATGTGACGTGGGCCCCTGACACAGAGGGGCACATGGTGGGTACCTGCTCCCTTGGTATATGGGCTGCATGGGCTTCCTCAGTGCATGGGCTGTGCTGCACCATCTCCAGTGACCAGGAGGCAGGAAGCAGAAGCTATAGGAGGGACGGGCAACTGGAGACGCTGGCAGCAGCAGCAGGAGGGGTTGGAGGAGTAGCAACTGGGCAAGTCAACCCCTTGTGGGCTGCATGAGGCCCATGGGCCACTGGACATGAGTTGGACATCCCTGTGCTAGGCCATGCAGGACTGCTACAGTCCTGACATGCCAAGGTCTCGGAGCCATGAGGGAGCAGAGGGACTGAAGCCAGTGCCAGCAAGGAAGTGCCTGTGCCAGAGCAGACAGCTAAGACAGGGTGGCCAGACTTGATCCCACCCCCCTTTCCCCATTCTCTACCTTCACAGGAGCCCCATCCTTGGGGATACTCATATCCTTGGGGATCCTGCAGGTCACTTCATTCTTCAGCACGTTAGTGTTGCAGTCCTTGCCCGCCACCATCATGGTGATGCTCATGCACTCTACCAGCATGTCCAGCCCCGTATGCTGCACAGACAGACTCGGGTTAGGGGGCACAGAGGAGTGGCACCCCAGTTCCTAATCAAGGCCTCCTTGCTCACAGCCTGAGCACCCTAGCTTCTCCTCAGGGCCTCCCTCCACCTAGCCCAAACTCAGCAGCTCAGCCCCTCCCCTTCCTGCCCCACCTCTGGTGCTTTCACTCTGACTAGTGCAGGGGTGGTTAAAATGTGGCCCATGGGCTGGATGTGGCCCGCCAGGCCACTCTATCCGGCCCGCAGGGCCCCTAAAAAATGTAGAAAATTAATATTTATTTGTCCCTTGCTGCCTGTCATGCGGCCTTTGATGGCTTGCCAAAACTCAGTAAGCGGCCCTCTGCCCAAAATAATTGCCCGCCCCTGGACTAGTGCCTCCACCCTTCAGGGTCCAGACTCTCAGTTCTGCAGCAGCCACCACCCCATGCTCTGGACCCTGCAATTTCCTGGCCACACGCCATACATGTATCTCAATTTCATCATCGCCTGGTTTCAGCCGGTTTGTCCTGTCATCATGCTCGAAGGGGAAGATCTTAGGTGCAGGGTAGTAGCGGAGGTGGAAGACCCTGTGTCCAGGGGTGCCATCCAGCAGCACGGTCAGGTTGCCCTGGACACTCTCCCCCTTGTTCTCAAAGGCGTAGGTTGGGCTCTGGCACACCAGGGTCTTGGCAGAGTGTGATCCCTGGCATAGCTGCAGGCAATAGAGTATGGGGATGAGGGCTTGTGGGCACCCCAAGCCCAGAACACAGAGTACAGCCAGAGGAAGGGGCCCCTCGATGCTGATCAAACATACTGACCACAGAAGAACTGCTGGCCTTCTGAGGCACCAGAACATCAGAAACAGGCCAAGGACTCCTGCACTGCTTTCAGCTGTCTATGTACTCTGGACCCAACCCTGGGCTCTGGTGATCTTGGGTCTGTCTCTGCAGGGAGCTGGGTACAGATGCACCATGTTAATGTGCCAGGCTTGTACAGCTGAGGGGACTAGTGGAATGAGTTTGAGTTCTCATCCAAGTTCCTAGTAAACATAGGTCCATAACTCAGCAGGATCTGGGCAAAGCTTACTGGAGTGTGGCACCAGGGCCTGTGGGTCAGGAGTGAGGGACTCTGGCTGAGCTGGGTTGGGAGGGGGGAGCCCACAACTGAGACAACAAGGGCAGGTTAGCAGGGTGATGCTCTGGCAGCATTAGGTGAAGATGCAGTGGATTCTCACCCATCCCTGCCCACCTGGGGCCATTCTCTTCCCTGCCAGCTCAGCATGATTCCCCACCCCAACAAATGACTAGCTAATTCTCCCTGGGATCCATTGGTACCAATTTATGACACATGCCCTGAGCCAAGAGGAGCCACCCCAGGTACTCACTCTGGCCTGTGTTTTCATGCTGCTACTATCAAACTGGATCTTGGCGTAATACACAGAATCCAGGTGGGTGCCAGTGATGGTGAGGTTGGAACCCCTGCAAAAGGGCAAAAGTCACTGTCACAAGACTTGGGCAAATATCTCCCAGACACAAAAAGCACTCAGCCTGGGCTCCAGTTGAGAGGGCATCCACGCCAAATCAGCCTGGCAGGGCTGGGCTGACACTCAAGGAAGCGAGGGCAGGACCTGCATACAGGGGAATTATGGATCCTGCCCAAACCCCTGTGGACAAACTCCTTGTGGTGAGGGCTGGAGTCTAATAGGTAGGTACTGCCACTGGAAGCAAGGACTACAGTGACCCCAGGTCTTACAGCAGCGGTTCCCAACCTCAGGTCGCGACCCAAATGGGGGTCGCGGGGGCAATGCCAGTGGCGCCACACACAAAGGACAAGCTGTGCTGAGTGCCGGGAGCTCCCCTGCCCCAACCCCCAGGCCACCGCACTCTGCTCCCAGCAGCCAGTCACAACAAAAAAAGGTTGGGAACCACTGTCTTATAGGGTGACACCAAGAGATTCTCCTACCCTGGCTCTAACATGATGAAATGAGCTGGCTTGCTGGACACAGGGCAGTGGCAGCTCTGTGGTTCCTGCCAGGCCTGGCTGGTGTTAGAAGGGCAGCATAATACGGTCTGCACCCGGGTACACTCACTCATAGCTGCAGTTTGGGGAGATGCTGTGGATGATGGGGTCCGGGCGGTATATGAAGGGCTGCAGGACAGGGAACGGTGCCTCGTCTATCCATAGGGCCACAGAGGCTGTACCCAGGTTCCTGCTGGCAGGGGTGGTGCAGAAGATCATCCCATCTCCTTGGCTGCGGACAGAGAACAGCAAGACCTGAACAGACACTGAGCTGCACAGCAGCCCAGCAAAGCCAGCCCTTCCCCCAAGGCCAGGACCCCTGAAGCTCTTGAGTCTGGCAACATGCACAGCTCTGCAGCAGAAGCTGGGGACAGAACCCTGGAGTTGGTGCAGTGCAGTTGGCAGCAAGACACATTTCATCACCTGCCTGCTCTAAACATGTCACAGCTTGTGTTGCAGTGACCTTCTGGTTAGGAAGGAGGTGGTGGGGGCTCATAAACCCCCATACTGTCAAGATACTTGGGCAGGGCCAGTGATTTGTGTAAGATGGATGCTAGCCTGCTAGAGCGACTCAACAGCCTCCATCCATGGTACGTCCAGGCCATCAGACCTGATGGGGTCCACTCCCTGCTGGAATCAACACAAATCCAACCCCTGGGCTAGAGGAAGATGGTCCCAACACCAGAGGCAACACTTGTACCTGTCCTCCCCCAGCACAGGGCATTCCACACCACTGACTGTCACCCTCCGGCTGCTTCCCACGGTGAGATTCCTGCCCTGGATAGAGATCTGGGTGCCGCCAGCCACCGGGCCAAATGTGGGGTGGATGGAAATGACATTGGGCTCCTGTGGACAAGAGGATAAGGCCTATTGGATGAGGGCAAAGCACTCCAGTGGAACATCACAAGATCCTCACCCAGCAGCCTCTCTGGGGCCCCTGCTCCCAGAAGCCAGGCAGAAGACATCACCTGTCAAGCCCAGCTGACCACTCCCAAGGTCACCTAGGATGGGGCATGCAGAGAATGGATGCATCTACAGAACAAAAGCCACAGCCCGCCCCCCCGCCCCCAGAAGAGAGGGTGTGGACTTGGGGGGGACAACTGGGGAGGATGGAGGG